AAAAAAAAAAAAATCAACGTCCAAATAGTGTCGAAACTCTGCCGAATTTTTGAAAAAGGAAAAAAAAGAGTTTTGTTTATGAAAAATGGTTTTGTTTGCCAAAGGAAAAAGAGTCTTGTTTTTCAAAAGAAGTTTGTTTTATCTCACCAAACTATGCGGGTCTGATTCTCACCGGATGTGAGATACGTAGGCAAACCTCATCGGTTCCGACCTCAATTTTAAAAAAATAATCCAAAAATATTTTCTTCCAGTCCCTTCTTTGNTATATATATATATATATATATTACAATGTAGAAAAGTATATACACTTTTTATACATCGTAGATTAGTATATATACTTTGGATACACTAAAGTGCTCAGGATACACTAAATACATTAGGGGTGCACTGAAAAATATAGGATACACTCTATATACAAAATCTATATTGCGTTTGAATATGAAGAAGAAGAAACAGTCACCTAAACAAAAATAGAAAGAATAAGAACCAAACCTTTGTACAAAATAAGAAGAAGCAAAATTATTGCGTTTCTTCATATTTTTTTTAACTAACAGCTCAGATCACCTTAGGAAGATGTGCAATGATGAGCACTTGAAGAAGGCATTTGAATTTTTCGATAAAAACCAAATTGGGCATATAAAGATTGATGAGCTAAGGGAGGTATTATCCGACGAGATTGAAACCAACAGTGAAGAAGTTATTGATGAAACAATGCACGTCCAAATTTATACAAGTATCTCTGTAAAAGCCACTTGCTAATGCTAAGTAACCAAAATTAATAAATAAAANGAGGAGGGTGGGGGAGGCATAGAAAGAGAAAAGTAAATTACATTGGGAAGGGAAATATATCCTGGGTAGTGAAAAATTATTACTTAAGGGGGGTCAAGAGAAGAAAAATCTCGAAAATCTGTGCAATGGGACTACTGGCTACAACTTGTCAATAAATTGTGCCTAATGGCTATTTCGGTTCAATAGGAGCATGGGCTAATAAAAATTTTAGGGGGACATAGAGCGTGATTTTCTCAATAATTTTTCAGACTCAATTTCTATATGATTTATATGGTATCAGAGCCAAATTCATATTTGAACTTTTTTTTTTGCTCAACTGGCAGTGAAAATTGAGTATTGTCTCCTCACATGATCTTGGATAATAGTCTTGGATAATTCCAAATCCGTTCTTGTTTCATGTTCTTTTCATTTCTCTTTGTTTTGTTTTTCTTTTTTCTGGACATTATCCAACCCAAAATTGGCCACTATTCATATCTATGTCAAATCCAGATTAAATTGGTTACAACAAAGGACTGTTTGGTTAGACGTATTTACTAAAAATATAAGACATGTCATTCTGCATTGATAATACAGTGTTTCGTTGCTTAATAATCTGTGTATTAATTTTGCCACGATTGACGTATTATCTTACGACGAATTCAAAGTGGAACAACAATACACGTATCACGTGTTACATTAACAATTAACAAACATGTCTTTCTACTAGCTTTATATCGTTGCTTAATTAAGAAAGCGATCAAAAAATGGTAATAAGGTTCAATCTGCACACCTCGCAACTCAAGAAAGACCATTTGTACTACTCAAACCAGGGAGACTTTTTACAAGATGATCAAAAGAATGGAAATATCAACACAACAATAGATCTATGATGAAAGAAATTCATTTCCAGATGCTTTCATTGTGCGAGAGCACCGAAAACTCTTCCTATTTGGACGAAGATCAGAATGCATCAGCACTGTTGAGTCTGTTATGGAGGATAAATAGTCAGAATTAACTGTTTCACATCACCCCATCGTCTGGTCTACTTTCTTAGGTGAAAGTGACCTTGGAAAAGAACTTACATGCTTGTTAGGATTGCATATGATAATCCAGAGTGTAGGCATGGATTTCAGAAGGGCTTGTACCAGGCCTGGAAACAAGATTTCACACATTAGGAAGGAAAAAAAGATAAAGAAACGCAACTTAAAGACAAGCTCTTAGCAGAAGAAAAGAAGGTTTGCAATCCATCAAAAAGCTTACATTATACCATTGACTAATGAACCAAATCCAACAAATTGGATTTTCTTGACATGGTTAGGACGAGCACGCACCAAAGTAGGCTATAGTTGAGATTTTATATTACACCAAAGTAGAGTAGTCTCAAGCAACAATATCCAGAAAGAAATTTCCAGGTCTAATGTTTAGGTTTAAAACAGCTTAGTTTTCAACAAGTGCTCAAACCTAGAAGTCAAGCATCAAAAGTGGACAAATAACTTAACGTTAAAAAATACGAAAGAACGGGGGAGTACGATGTATCTCAACTTGAAAGTCAAATTGTTGCAAATGTATTCATAAAGGTCGAAATTGTGCTTCCTTACATCCGTCAGATGCATATTATTCTACTGAGAGGGGTATATACTAGGCATTGCATGTCAATCCAAGACAGGGATTCCATCAAGTTTAGAGTTCTAATAGAGGTATAAATAACAAGCAGGTGTTCCACCAGCTCAAGTTATATTAACATGGGGAGTTGAAAAGGATGAAAATATGAACTTAACTGGTTCTATTGGACAAAGACAGCAAACTATTCTACACTAATTTAAGCTTTTGCCAATGATTAGGAGTAAGAGGGGATCAAATTCGGCTCAGCTTAGAATTGAGTTGATGTCTTGCAAAGAAATGCCAAACAGACAAAATAGATTGAAATGTCACAGAAATTAATATGAAGGGCGAGAGAGATTTTAGTTGAAAAGTAAGCGTTACAAAAAAATGCACAACCACCACCAGTGCAGAGCAATTCAGAGAGGTGGTGTTAATCAAGTTACCATTAGTGGATCTCTTTCTTTTCCAAATCAAAGGTTATTGAAAGACAACATGGTTGAGTATAACCGATTCACTGCTTGCTAATAACCAGAAGACAAAAATTCTAACGCTCTAGAAATGAAATATAAGAAAGAAAAAGTTACAGTACCACTTACTCTAATGAAAGGAACACTTATAGTTTGTGATTTCTCCTATTAGTTTCGTCTTCAAATGAACGACATTTCATGTTTTTGGTGTAGCTATAAATGCTTGTGTAAACTAACAATGCTCTCTGTTTTGTCTGTCATACGCGTTCAAATAGGATTTATCTAATTTGCTCAACAGACTACTTAAGCTTCATAATGGATCTATATAGCAGAAAGAAAACTACCATATAGGCTGACCAGAATACCTCTTGTTAATGATGCCATAATGAAACTTCGGCCTTCCAACTTTAATATCTTCAATGTACTACAATCACATGAAATAAGAAAGGTCACTTAAAATTAGAGAAAGCAAGCAAATGAAGAAAATGTTATCTTTATACATACATGTGTGTGTGTGCGTATTTTTTCTATTAAGTAAATATTAACCTTGTAACATAAACATACCAGCTTCAAGGTCACCAGCATTGATGAAAATGCTAAAGAATCAAAAGGAATATCATCAAGCTCATAAAGCCGACATTCTGATGATTCTGGACCTGGTGAAAAGTGGGGAGTTTTCAGCTTCGCCAAAAAAATCATGTACGTCTGCAACACAACGAATAAGTGTCGTCAATATCTGTCTCAATTCATAGAAAGTACTTGTCATCTTCAAGATGTTTATACTCACTTGGCCTATAAGAGGGATGTCTAATTGAGCAAAAGGTGACTGAACCTCTACTTCTGCATTTGCCTCTTCTAGAGTTTCCCTAATTGCTCCTTCTGCAGCAGATTCACCAATTTCCATGTAGCCAGCGGGCAGCGTCCTACCAGTACAACAATATTTGAAGATAAACTCACAATACTGGAGTTTGAAGTACTTCACCACTTTCTACATTTCTGGATGTTGGGAATTTTAAAAAAAAAGACTTTCTTAGGGAGGTGAGTGAAAGACCTCCTTTTGCCTCACTAAACTTTGTTGGCAGGCACATACCAAAGGCCGTACGATGGTTGAATTTTCCGCCTGCACATTAATATCTTCTTATCGTGCTCAATAAGGCAACCAACAACCTGTATTTGTGGATGATTACACATATTATTCCCTTAGTACATTGCAGGATAAAACTCTGTGTTTGTTGTGCGTTGCACAAATGAATAATAAAACCACAACAGGAGAAAGAACCATATTAATTCATATGGCTACTATAAACGAGATTAATTATGGTCTTGCAACCTCAAAGTTCATAGTAAGACAAACTATACTCAATGAGGTTCAGATTAGTAAACAACTAGAATCACTAAGATTTAAGTGGGGGGTTCCCGCAGAGCATGCTCGAGCAGCCCTCCCGGGGGTGTGCAGACCAACTGGGTAAATTTACCATAATAACTATTTCCCATGGAACACCTACCTGAAGTTTAGCGAGTTCCCAAACTATTAATCCAAAGTGGAAAATAAAGCAAAACAGAGTCTGAATAGACTCTTTAACCTCAGAATTAAAGAATGCAAGCAAACAAGGGATAAACCTATCTGATAAATAAACATCCACAAAAGCCATACAAGGTTGTGTTCTTTGGCTTACCATCCTTTCTTGCACTCTCATTTTTCAGCCAAGCAATTTTCTACCCACTTTCTCTTGACCAATACTGTTTGCTCCTCTGAATAGACTCTTTAACCTCAGAATTAAAGAATGCAAGCAAACAAGGGATAAACCTATCTGATAAATAAATATCCACAAAAGCCATACAAGGTTGTGTTCTTTGGCTTACCATCCTTTCTTGCACTCTCATTTTTCAGCCAAGCAATTTTCTACCCACTTTCTCTTGACCAATAATGTTTGCTCCTTTGCAGCTATATCTCAACTGGCTTAGCTATCTTTTGTCTTCCACTGTCGCTTAACAAATTGTGCTATGTTTTCCTTTTTCCTAGGTATATGCATATTTCAAACTGTCCCCGAAACAAAACTGAATTTGATAAAAATACAAATAAGTAGACTTAATAATTGAAACAAGGTTACCAAACTGATTTGGTTTGGGGGATTTATCTGGTTCTAAACAAAGATGGACACTCCCACTTTCAAGTTTCAACCATCAATATTGAAAATTAACCACCAAACATCTATGTTATGAAAAGCCAAAGGGAAAAATCATGTACTCATTACAATTTCAAGTGGTAATACAATGATTAGTCTGCATTTGATTCGAGAATCCATGCCCGAAAAATGTAGACCGTAAAGCTTCATAAAATCTTACCATTTTTGGATTCTCATAGATAATCTTCCCACAGAGGGTGCAGATAGCTCTCACCTTTTCCTCACCATCAGGTATCTCATGCTTTGTTGAGCCTCCACAAAACTGGCAGAAGTTGATCTTGCGAATATTGCCCTACATGATGTTTGAACTGAATGTATCAGGGAAAAGATAAAAGGGACATGGAAAATTTATAAAACACAAAAACATTCTCATATCTATTCAAATAACATATAGGTAATTTTTAAGAGGTGTACCTATTGCGTACGTTAGGGCGATTAAGGACATCTATAATGGAGCTAAGACCCGGGTGAGGACAATAGGAGGGGACTCGGAACACTTCCCAGTGGTGATGGGGTTGCACCCGGGATCGGTTCTCATCCCATTTTTATTTACCCTGGCGATGGACACGCTGACGCGCCACATTCAAGGGGAGCTACCGTGGTGCATGTTATTTCCAGATGACATTGTACTGATTGATGAGACGCGAAGCAGTGTTAACGCGAGTTTGGAGGTTTGGAGGCAGACTCTGGAGTCTAAAGGTTTCAAGTTGAGCAGTACCAAGACAAAATACTTGGAATGTAAGTTCAGTTGGGTGACTCTAGGAAACGGATAGGGACGTGAGACTTGACACACAAGTCATTCCTAGGAGAGTAAGTTTCAAGTACCTTAGGTTAGTTATACAAGAGAATAGGGAGATTGACGAGTATGTCACACATCGACATCGTATTGGAGCAGGGTGGGTGAAATGGAGGCTCGCCTCCGACGTTTTTTGTGATAAGAATGTGCCACCAAAACTTAAAGGTATGTTCTACAAAGCGGTGGTCAGCTGTGTGGGGTTGAGTGTTGGCCAGTCAAGAATTCCGATGTCCAAAAGATGAAGGTAGCAGAAATGAGGATGTTGAGATAAATGTGCGGGTACACCAGGTTAGATAAAATTAGGAATGAGGATATTCGGAAAAAGGTGGGCGTAGCCCCTGTGGAGGACAAGATGCGGAAAGTGGTATTAGAGCGTACACATTACCCTCCCCAGACCTCACTTGTGGGACTACACAGGGTTTGTTGTTGTTATAATTTTTAAAAAGAATTGGCTGGTGTTAGATTGTCAACATTTGTTTGAGAAAGTGGGTTGGTATCTCCTATGTTGGGCAATCCTCACATCATGAGTTAATTTTTGGGATTGAGTTGGATGCAAGATTCATTTTTCTCGAAATGGCATTAGAGGCAGACCTATCACTGTTCTTGGTTTATCCAATGTTGGACTCCCAAGTCAAGTTGTCCATGCTCACAATGTCCGGCCTTGGGCGTGCGGGTTGTGGGTGTTAGAGGTTAGAGGTTAGAGTGTTTCGCATTAGTCGAGGAATGAGCTCTTATCCCCTTACATGATATTGAGATATCCTCACCTCAGAGCTGCCTTTCTGGGTTGAGTTAAGCTCAAGGTTCAGTTTTCTTCACAATTTGCAGAAGTGCAGACTGCAAACTAACTTTTAGTACAGGAAGAGAAACAAAAGATGAAGCTGAAGAGAAAGAGGAGAGAGAAAGCTCCAGCTGAATGCCACTCATTTCATAATAGATTTAAGCTGTTTCTAACACTGACAGCTAGCTGTATATAAGATGCCTACAAGTATAGGCATGTTAGCATTTAGAAGCTTTCTATCAGATTACATCGAAGCTTTTGCAGGACATTTTATCAGAATAGAAGCTTGTAGCTCGATAATTCTTACTAGGAAAATTTCCAACTGCTCATGCCATGATTTATGCCAGAACTATTAGTTGGATAACTATACTGCTGATGAAATACTTTTACCTTCTTATGAAAAGTCAACTTGTGACCTTTAAAAAACGAAATATTTTCTCCATCACAAATGAATGACGCTATATGGAGTATCAAAAGATTGGATTATTTTTCAAAGTTCATTTGCCTATTGAGAACGACCTAAAAAGGCGTGTAAACTCATGTCTTTGAAAATTAGAAATATTTAAAATGTATAATAGGAAACATTGTTTGACTCTCCAAACAATAATTGTGTCATATAATTTGCACATTTGCCAATAATACTAATATATGAATGCAATACCAAAGATTCCACTAGTTTCATCTTTTTTATCTCCTAATTTTCTCACTAATCAATGATAACCTATCAACTACCTAAAGTCCCACTTCTACTTTAGTATCAAACAGTAACCAACTAGACTAAAGCCTTTTGCCTCAAATTTTCCCAACATATGTCTTGACACTCATATTTCAGAAGGGGTTTTACTTGGTTGAAAATTAGAGCTTCCATAATTTTTCCATTTCCTTTGGTATGAACCAGCTGCGTGTTTTCCTCATGCATTAATCATTATATAATAACTAAGCCTCAATCCCAAGCTAATTGGGGTCGTCTATAAAAATTCTTGCTATCCATATCCTCCATTTGAATCCCTTATACATTATATGATGCAGCCAAATGCAACTTATTAACTTCCTCCCCCAACACTCTGCACCAGAAGGTAGAAAGGAAAAGGAAAAGGAAAAGGAAAAGGAGGAATAATGAGTTCTCATTTGTTGCGGACGCCGAATATATAGAGAGATTAAATCACAACTACTATATGTAAAAGTAACTAATAAATAGTAAATGAAACAATAAAAAAAAACACTAGAAGTTTACGAGGTTCAGCAAAATTTGATTTTCTGCCTAGTCCTCGGATATAATCAAATCAAACTTTATTTCACTCCAAAAATTATAAGTGAAATACTACAAGAGAGAAAGAAGACTCAAATGCCTTAGGAGATAAGAAGGAAAATGGCCTTAATAATGTTATGCATGACATCACATAATGTGTGATCATGCAATGTAAATGCATGAAAAATGCATCTACCAATTTCCTCTTAAAAGGAGGCTTCCAAATGTTCACACTAGTACTGTTACGCGGCGCCTTCCTGAAGTTCCTTGGAAGCGCGACGTAAGGCTAAGCAACCGATGTCAGTGCGGTAGCTATGCGCCAACCGAGGTCCTCGCCGTACGCTAGACTAGATTGTCAGTGCCGTACGGGAAAA